GGGTTTCGTGCGTGATGAGAGGCTGGGTAAGGGGTCTACCATCGATGGCCTCCACTGCTATGGGTCTCTCTTTCTGCCTTAAGGGCAGGAGATATTTAGCAGAGATTTCCTTGTGTAGAAAATTTTCTGCTGCCCCAGAGTCAATCATAGCCTCACACTGTACAGCAGTGTTCTTACAAGATAAAGTAACTCTTATAAGGAAACGGTTCTTAGTCAATTTAGGGGACATATACATCACACCTAAGGTCGGTCCCCGCATGTGCCTTAGGTGCGCAAGTTTTCCGGCCGAACCGGACATGAAAATCTTTGATGTCCTCTTTTGCCACAATATAAACATAACCCATCGTTGCGGCTGTATTGTCTCTCTGCCTCAGTGAGTTTTGTAATGCCCAGTTGCATGGGTTCTGGTTCTGGAGGTGGGGCATGGTTAATTACCACTAGGTTAGAGAAATGAGGGGCTATGGATAAGGTAGAACGTCTAGTACGTTTGTTTTTCTCTCTTTCTCTGCGCCTGTTAGCAATATCTATCATGTAGGCAATAAAGTCCTTAAGGTTAACCTGAAGATCTCTGGCTGCGGTCTCGTCTTGTATATTCTCCGCTAGGCCTTCGGCGAAGGCAGCCACTTGACCGCTATTGGTCCAGTCAACCTCAGATGCCGACGTTCTAAACTCAATGGCGTAGCCAGCTACAGAGCGATTGCCTTGTTGTCTCATTAGGGCTCTGGCAGCATTCTTTTCTCTCCCTTTTGGCTCAAAAGTAGCTTTAAATGCTGTTAGAAATATGTTGTAATCACGGGCTACTGGATTCCCACTCTCCCATAAGGGATTAGCCCAGGTTAAAGCCTTACTTTAACCTTGGTTCATTAGATAGCCAATCTTCTCGATCTATCTGTAGGGAATGAACCAGTGGCAGCTTCGAAGTGGTATTCCATTTGATTTAAAAAAAAACTCTAAATTCTTTAGAATCACCCCTAAAACGAGGGGGAGGTGAAAGGGTTATGGACGGTGGTTTGTGTGCCACCGGTGCTACCACAGGTGGTGGAGTCACAGGTGGTACAGGAGGTGCCTCCAGATAGGCAGTTCTCTGGAGCAAGGTCTGGAATGCTTGGGCAAACTGATCTAATCTGTGGTCCATACCCTCCACCCTATTCTCACAGGCAATCATATGTTTACATAGTTCCGCAGGATCCATGGCCCTGTCGTAATGTCATGGCAGCTAGTGTGGTCCAACACGCAGAAACTATGTAAATATATACATACAAAAGAAAAGGAAAATAAAAGGACAGAGCATAAACCGGACCTTAGAATGGCCGGACTAACATGCTAGAGATAGAGAATGGTCAAAAGGGAAAGCCGAGGTCAATGAAGCCAGAAATACTCAAATACAGTTTACACAAGCCAAGTCAGGGGAACCAGAATTCAGAATAACCAGGGAAAAGCCGAGATCAGGATACCAGGAAATCAGTTTCACAAAGATAAACACACTCTCGGGAACCAGGAACAGGAACCCACGACAGGGCAAGGAAGTAAAGTGAATTAGGGATTTAAATATCCCTCTCTAGTTTGATTGGTCAGAGGGTGACCTCTGACCCCAGAACGTGCGCGTGCGTTGACGTTGTGACGTCACACGCATGTTTGTATTCATTAGAGGGGCGGAGCTTAAGATGGACGCGACCACGAGGCCGCGCCATCTTTGATTTGGGTGTGATGCCCAGAGAAGACAGCGGAGCGGCTCGCGGCACTCGGCGGGTCAGGAGCCGCAACAGTTTTCTTCCAGTCCGAGGGGATTTTTGGTGGTGAGGGAGATTTCTCTTGTTGAGCTTGTGTGGGTATACCCCATTTTTTCATCTGGTGAAGAGATCTTAGCGATCAGTCCGTTCTTGTGAACCAGTAGGCACTGGGTGTCCCCATCTGTATGGTTGTTTCTGTGCTCTGAGTGCATCCGTTATGTCCTTGAATTCCCTTCGCTTTTGGAGAGTCAGGACTGACAAATCTGTGAAGATTGATATTTTTCTGGCAATCCCATTTGCATTCTGGAGGCTTTCATCCAAGCCTCTTTGATGTGGTAATAGTGCAGGTGTGCCAGGACATCCAGGGGGTAGAGCTTAGTCACTCTGTGCACCCTGTCTACTAATAGGATTTCTGTGGGAAAGTCTGGTGTGAGGGCCTTAAAGTACCCTGTCAGTTATTCCATCAGATCTGGCTGCTTCACCTCCTCCAAGATGTCGCGGAAGCGTATATTCTGTCTTTTCGAACGGTCCTCCAGATCCATTAGCTTCAATTGATATTGCTCCTGATGTTGCTCCAGTTTTTGAATGGCCATGGTCGGCCATGTCATTATGTGCTTCAGCATATTCACCCATGCGGTTCTCCATTCTGGTGGTTTGTTCCCCCAAGTTGTGGAGATCCTTCCTGAGGTCTGATATGGATCTATTGAAGCTCTGGAGTAGTTTTTCACACCTGCATGTTTGCAATACATTCTGTGTGACAGGTAAGTTGTGAATTATCAGAGACCTCTGTAGAGTGAGTGTGTCGTCTCCGTCGCCATCTTGTTCTTCTTCGTAGGAGCAGGTTTGCTTCGATGGTTGAGGCTGGGCCCCAAATAACCCATTTTCTCCCCTTTCTCAGGGTGCTTGTGTTTACTTTTGCTTTGGGACATCTTCCCAGTGTGTTTTCTGGTTGTTGTTGTTATCTGAAATGCTGTCAAAAATGCCTTATTGGGCCAATCTGTGACAGAACTCTAGGCATTTGCCTCCATCCGTGACATTAGTCAGGCCACGCCCCCTGTCTTATTTTTTTTTTAATGATTACAAAACCTATTCTTAGAAAAACTGTGCTTGTACCTTAATTTGTTGTATAGTCTTCTACGGCTGTCGGAAAGACATAGAAAGTCAACAGTTTAACATCAAGCTCACATTACTAATCTATTCTTCCTCTGGCTTAATTTTGGAGATGGTTTGACAGAACATATGGGTTTTATCACTTAAATTGTGTTATGCACACTGCTGGTTCAGGCACAATTACTCATGTCACGTTTATTTATTTATTTTAGATTCTCTAGTTGAATCTGATGAACTTAAGGAAAAAAAAGCTCGTCTGGCTGAAGATTTGAATGAAAAGATTCTTCACCGTCCTGGGCCTTTAGAACTAGTAAAGAAGAATATACTTCCTTTAGCTACTGGTATAAAAGATGGGCTAAAGGGTGAGTTTTTCTTTTTTCAAATAGTTAGTGGTGGACATTCTAGAATAATAAGGAAAATGTTTTAATTTATCCATGGCAGCATATACATATGGGCAAGGCTGGCATCAGAAATTTTAGGGCCCCTGACACAGCTCAAGATCTGGGCCCTCCGGGGCCAGCCCCAAGTCCGCCCACAAGGGTGTAGTGTGTGTGTGTGTTTGTGTGTGTGTGTGTATAGTGGATGTAGAATGTGTTATGGATGCAGTGTGTATAGTGGATGTAGAATGTGTGTTATGGATGCAGTGTGTATAATGGATGTAGAATGTGTGTTATGGATGCAGTGTGTATAGTGGATGTAGAATGTGTGTAGTGGATGCGGTATGTGTGTCATGGATGCAGTGTGTATAGTGGATGCAGATTGTACGTTTTGTGTAGTGTATGTAATGTTTGAATGCCTGCATTAGATGCAGTGTGTGTGTGTAGTGAATGTAGGTGTGTATAGTGAATGCAAAGTGTTTTTTTGTAGTGGATGTAGTGTGTATAGTGTGTATAGTGATTGTAGTGTGTATAGAGCATGTAGTGTTTGTGTAGCGAGTGCAAAGTGTGTTTAGTAAATGTAGTGTGTTTGTAGTGAATGTAGAGTGTGTGTGTAGTGTAGAGTGTGTTTAGTGAATGTAGTGTGAGTGTTTATTGCAGTGTGTGTAAAATAGGGGGGAGGGGAGTATTTTTATTTATTTGTGAATATTTCAATTTATTCCCCCCCCCCCGGTTCTTACTGTGCCAGGGAGGGGGGAGATCGCATTCCCTGGTGGTCCGGTAGCATGGTGGAGGGAGCCAGCCGCGGTACATTGAAGAGGGGGCCCAGCAGCACGTCTTCCTTTCCAGCTCCTCTCTGACTAACTCTCACGAGACAGGCCTGCGTGCTGTGCAGAGAGCGTTGCCATGGTAACCTGTTGCAACGCACTGGCGGCCGCAGGGAAGTTAGACAGAGAGCAGCTGGAAAGGAGGACAGAGTGTGCTGCTTGGTCCTCTCTTCAGTGTTCAGGTAGCAGGGGGCCCTCTGTGCACATATATATAGCGAAAATCGCTATATATGTGCACATAAGGAATGTGGGGCTCGTACTGCCAGAGTAGTTCAGGCCCCTCAGGACTGCCGGGCCCATGACCACTGTTATGGTTGTCATGCCCTGATGGCGGCCCTGCAAATGGGTTAGTTTCATCTAATGCAGCAGAGAGGACAGGAAACATAAAAAAAAATCTATTAGAAGGCTCCCTAGCCATGTGACCAAGACAGCATATACAAATAGGTTAATTTCCAACTTTTAAGTGGCATGGGGTGAGGGGGCAGAAATTAAGACAAATAAATATAAAAACATGTTATGAAATATAATTTATACATACAATTAAAGTGTTCATAAAGTAGCTAAAGGTACCATAACCAAGCTGAATAATGGAAAGGGTAATTTCTCAATGTGAAAAATACAGAATATCAAAGTCCTACTAAATGCAGGAAAAGAATACAAACTGTACACCAAACATGAAGCCATGCTGCATCAACCCAGAAATGAATGATAATCTGGCAGATAACGGATGCCATTACCAGTGCACATGTTAGATCCATCCTGCATAACAAACAGCGAAAATTAGAAAATGCAAAAATCAATCTACAATGGGAAAACAGAGTACATATCTGGTGAGTAAACTCTGAAAATATCCAAGTTGGGGTATTAACATTCCCAGAACATATAAGGCTACCAAAGAATGCACACAATGGCTTTGCATTTTCACAAATTTTCTGAATTGTGTGCTACTAATAGGCTGATAGTGTCAGCAGTGCCCAGTTTTTTGCGCTTCTAATTTAATGCTTTGGAAATTCAGAGAAGGTACAAGGGCAGAAATATCAGGCACTGGCTTGCAGACTTTATGGTTAAACCATTCGTTAATGGTTTAACCCCGTCAAGTAAGATGTTGCCCGTGACCTTCTCACACCATAACAACTTCAATGTGATTAAGTTGTTATGGTGCCCAAAGTGTCCCTTACTATTTTTCTTTTAGAAATTACCATCCTGGCATGCTTTTTTTCATAGCCTACTATATTTTTTTTCTTCGGTTTTGCGGCATTAAAGAAATGTCTAAAAAAAACAAGTTGTCTCTGCTAAGATTAGTTACGTTAGGCAGGCATTGTATGTCTAGTAGGAAAATACACCTGGTCTGATTTACACCAATAAGCAGGTTTTATTTCCTGCCATTTGGTTTACAGATCAGGTGTGAAAAAGTAAACATTAGAGAGGAAAAGTCATCTAAGGCAAAGGAAAGGTTTTTTTACTGTAAGAACAATAAGGATGTGGAATTCTCTGCCAGAAGAAGTGGTTTTATCAGCGTCCATACAGATGTTCAAAAGCTACTAGATGTATACTTGCAAAAACAGAATATTATAGGATATAATCTTTCAATGTAGGGTAATAACTGCTTGATCCAAGGATAAATCTGACTGCAATTCTGGGGTCAAGAATGAATTTTTTTCCTAGCTTGTTGCAAAATTGGCAGTGCTTCATGTCGGTTTTCGGTGATCCTTCAATATTGATAGTTATGGCTCGCTTCAGGTATGATGTGGACCTTTACCGACAAAAGGTCACTCCGGGTCATTCTAAGCTTAGTGTGTCTTTATGCAATCTATAGCTGTATACGGAGCAGACCCTTCCGTTCCCAAATTACTTATAAATACTGTTTTCCTTAACCATTCTAGATGATAACTTGACTATCACTAAAATAATCCAGTGTCTGAAGACCCAAAAGGCACTGTAATAATATTGTAATAAATGAAACAATGACTCAAATAAATATAAGATAAAAGTGTATTGAATGAATGTTACAGAATGCAAAATAGTCAGTAAATAATTAATCTTACCAAATGTATTAGTGGCTACAGCATATGTCCCTGTATACCTTTCAGATGTGTGGTGACAGCAGGCAGAGTAAGAGTAGATGGATGAATGAATGAATGGTGAATGACAACGTCACACTCTTTCTCCTTCAGTTAAATAGTCATTTTGTCCTCCATAAAGCAGCCCCCACCTGTGTAATACTCCCAAAAAGGTATTCTAACTTGTTGCATGATGTAATGTATTGAATATCTAAGTTTGGGATATACCCTAGATGGCTCTGCCTATAGTTAGCTTCAAAATTAAGTGTTTTGTATACATTTGACTGACAACACATGTGTTTGTTCTAATTTAACTTCAACCTTTTAGCTGTTAACCTTGTGGAAATGTCATTGAAAATTTAACTTTTTCAAATCTAAGCAAAAAGGCCTGCAATATTTCATACACCTATTTTATACAGCTAAATGTACATTCATATTAGATATATATATGCACCATACCATATAATACATATATATATTGCAAACTACACATTAAATAATGATCAACACTCCACACTTCAAACTGGGTTTTTTGCCTTCTTTTGGAACAACAGCAAAAAACAAATGTGAGGAAGGCTGAACTTGATGGACGCAAGTCTCTTTTCAGCTATGTAACTGTGACAAGACCAATCTCGCCACATTGCATTGGAGAAGCCTGGTTGCTCGCCTGTTGCCTTTGGATTATGGCCCCATGTTAAAAGGCTTGATTTTCCCCTGCAAAGACAAGAAAGCCGGGTCATTTGGTGCTTGCCCTGTTTGAGCGGTGATACCCCAGATAGCTATGCCATGGAGCCCATTCGTATAATGAAAGACTATGGGAAAGACTTTGGCTCCATGGCAATTGAACTGTATGTGTGTGCTCTGAGCGCCATTCAGTAATAATGTGCGCTCAGATCTGAGCTATCTGGGGATATGTTGAATGTACCTGTTTTGTGCAATGGCTGCACATGTTTTTATGTGTTTTATTGTCTTTTGCTGCCATGTGTTCAATGGAGTTTTGCCTCTGTCCTTGGAGATAATTGGATTACTTCCCAATTATCTCCAGGATAGAAGACTCTGTGGAACTGGTTTTGGGCAGAAAAGCCATGCTTCCTTTGGTCACAAAGGAGTACGATCTATCTTTTGAACCACTGGACCAATTTGGATGATTTTGACGTATGTTTGTATTTGGAGTATGCTGATTCTGAAAATGTAAGTTATATGTGAATGTGATGCATACTTTTCAAGTTATGAATAATGTGGAAAAATTGTATTTCTCTGCTTGTTATAATTACATTACCCATTGTGTAAGGTAATTGAATCACAGGCAGAGGGGAGGATTTTGTGTGGGAGTGTCTGAATGTATTGTATGTGTTTATTGGTTGTTTTCCAAAAAATCACTACTAATGTGTATATAAGAACAATAAACCCACACCTCTGACTGTTCACTGCTTGACCCTCAACACGGAGCTTTGTCTCATTCTTGGGGGGGGATTTACTGTATGCTGTTCCAGTTTGACTGCTAGGAGTGTAAACCTATTCGGATGGTTTTTCCTATTCGGCTGTTTAAAGCATTCATATGGTTTCCTGTTCGGCGGATTGGTGTTCTGCAGTAGTTGTGCCTGTGTCTCTGGAAGGGGAAGATCTACTAAACGGCGGTTTAACCGTTGTGTGCAAAACGGTCCGTTACAGTAACTATGTCCCCGAAACAAAAGGCAATGACCCATCATTTCCGTAAATATAAATAACAAACAACAGTAATAACAGACATCATAAACACAATATAAGTGCCAAACTTTGTTAAATAACCACAGTAGGGGTATTCCCAGATACCCCTACCACCCACCAGATTCTTAGCCACCACAAGCTCGAAACCTACCAATGAAACCAATCCAATTCCCACCTCCCTATTTTCTTCACTAGCTCATTACGGAGCCCCAGAAACGTGGCTTCCATAGCTGCCACAATCCGGAAGGAGTGTGTACCGAATTGTTACTGCCTCAGACCCAATCTCCGAACTCCCAAGTGAAAAACTCAGGCAAACTGGAAGCGCGACACCACACTATCCACCCCCGTAGTGACATCAGACGCCTGAATGCCGCCATGACCTCGCCTGTTCGTGCTGACCAGTTCCCCAATACGAAAAGCCCTAAAAAAGGCCAAAACAAACGCCATGCCAAACAGGTCAGCCTCAAAGTCCGAGAAGCAAATCTCAGGCAGTACCCGCACCAGGCTCCCCAGAACACTGATAGACACCAGCCGCCATGCACCTGGAGCCCTCTGCCCCCTCCGGAAACCTTTCAAAGCATGATGGATAACAAAATGTTTTGTCAAATCCCCCCAACCGCGCAACTTAGACCAAAATGCGAGCGCAGCCATATTCCTGTCCACTCCTGCCAGAGAAGCGCCCCTGGCCAGTAGCTCAAACCCAAACCACAAAAGGGCCTCCCCCTCCCCCTGCGCTCCGGGCGCCGTCATCCAGAACCGGGACCACTTAAAGCGAGACAAAGCATCAGCCACAATATTGAAGTAACCAGGGACATGCCGCGTGCTGAAGACACATTGAGGGACATACACATAAGGACAAATATGCTCAAAAGCCACACCGCCGGAGCCGACGACGATAACAGATTAACGGCGTGCACCACAGACATGTTGTCCATGTGGAAAACCACTTTCCTATGCTTCAGCAAGTTACCCCAAAGCACCACAAGTAGCGGAAACAGCTTGAGGAAAGCCAAGCTGCGCATCAAGGCGCTCACCACCCACCCCCTTGGTCAAGGTGCCGCACACAAACGTCCCCCGAAGTATGCCCAGAAGCCCAAGCTACCCGAAGCATTCGTGAACTGTTCCAGATCTGCAGCTGCAACCCCCACCTGCCTGAAAGTTACTGTCCCATTAAACCCCCACAGGAACACGTCCCAGACCTCCAGGTCAGCTTTCATAGTGGAGGTGACCCGAATAAAGTGATGAGGCGAATGGATTCCGACCGTGGCCCTGGCCAGACTCCTCCTGAAAATCCTCCCCAAAGGCACCACCCTGCAAGCAAAAGTCAACTTCCCCATGAAGTTGCAGCAGCGTTACCTTACGCGCCCAACACACTTCTACCACCACCGCCCGCAACCCCAGCAGCTTATCCTGAGGAAGACGAGATTCCCCCTTTCGAGAGTCTATCTCAATGCCCAGGAAACACAGACAGGCGATCGGGCCTTCCGTCTTGGACCCCATAAGGGGGACGCCGAACTTATCCGCCACACACTCAATGGTCCACAGCAGGTGAAAACTGCGCTGAGAGTCAGCAGGCCCAACACACCAAATAGTGGACCACCAACTGACACCCGCCTTTATCTTCACCACACTGTAAGAAAGTGCTGCCCGTGCTTACTGGTCCACGTATCTGTGGTTATGTGGACTTTGCCACTGATGGAGTTGTGCAGTGCACACCTGATTTTGTCCGCCAATTGGTTGTGCAGGGAAGGGTGGCAGCTGGGAACTACGTACTGTGGGACAGCCACCGCCATCAGGTTTTTAAAACTGTCCATCTCCACCAGACGGAATGACAGCATTTCAAAGGCAACAAATTTTGAAATGCTGGCATTCAGGGCCAGGGATCACGGGTGGGTAGGGGCATACTTCCTCTTTCTCTCCAATGTTTGGGAGATGGACAGCTGAAAGCTTTCATGGGACAGTGTGCAGATGCTTGGGGACAGTGGCGGACTTGGAGGCGTTGCTGCCACATCTTCTGTTTGCGGGGTGGCAGGTGCCACTGTCACTCCAGAGGTGGAGGAAGGGGCCGAGACAGAAGAGGAAGCAGGAGGAGCCTGAGACCTTTCTTGGTTTTTGATGCGCTTACTCCACTGCAGCTCGTGCTTTGCATGTAGATGCCTGGTCATGCAGGTTGTGCTCAGGTTTAGCACATTTATGCCGCGCTTCAGGCTCTGATTGCACAACGTGCAAACCACTCGTGTCTTGTCGTCAGCACATTGTCTGAAGAACTGCCACGCCAGGGAACTCCTTGGAGCTGGATTTGGTGTGCTCGGTCCCTGGGTGCGGTGGGCAGTAACAGGCATACCGTCTAGGGGATGGCTGCTCCACTTTTGCACCCTGCTCCCTCTTATGCTGTGCTGGTGCCTCTGTGCGACCACTGCTTCTTCCTCCAAACTGGACACGTCACTCGCATGACCTTGATTCCATGTGAGGTCTAGGACCTCATCATCCTCCACATCATCTTCCACCCACTCCTCAACCCTGCACTCCTTGCCGGTCTGCATACTGCCGAAAGCCACAGCAGTTGGCACCTGTGATTCTTCATCATCAGATACATGCTGCGGTGGTCCTTGCATGTCCACAAACTCACACATAAGTGGTTGTACATCAGTGCACTCAATCCCTTCCACTTCTGGGGCAGGGCTAGGTGGATGGCCCATGGAAACTCCACCATCAGAGTCATCAAAAATCATAAGAGACTGCTGCATGACTTGTGGCTTAGACTGCTTGGGTGATTTGCAAGGGGGTGAGGTGATAGACAGATGGCCATGGGCTGCAGGTGCCAACTCTGAGCTTTCAGCAGGGCACCGGGTGGGAGACAATGTGCAGGAACTGGAGGCACTGTCAGCCATCCAATCTACTATCGCCTGTACTTGTTCTGTCCTTACCATTCGTAGAGCGGTATTTGGGCCTACCAAATAACGCTGAAGGTTCTGTCATGTACTGTCACATGAGGAAGGTGTTTCACTTGGGCGTGTAGCTGGCACATCCTCTCCTTGCAACAGGGATTCCACCAACACCAGAAGCACCATGACCAGGGCCATGTCCCTTATTTGACGCTCTCCTCATTCTTTGCGTTCACCCACCAAACTAACAGATGGTTTATGTCAGGCGACAATGTAACCGCCAACAGTCAATTTTTTATTTTTTTTTAGTTTATTGGACTGCAAGTAATGCATCGCAGGCCGCAAATTTACTATTTAGCACAGAAAAAAATTAGAATTTTTACAAGTGCGCTGTAAGCACACTATTAGACTCTTCTATTTGACTCTCAGATATGAAGAGCAAGCCACAAAATGTACTGTTTAGCACCAAAACAATTAGAATGTTTACAATTGCACTGTAACCACAGTATCTGACGCTTCTATTTGACTTTCAGATATGAAGAGCAAGCCATAAAATGTACTATTTAGCAGATTAGCAGCCAGAAAATAAGAATGTTTACCACAGCGCTGTAAGCACACTATTAGACGCTTCTATTTGACTCTCAGATATGAAGTGCACCCCACTAAAATACTATTTAGCAGTTTAGGACCCAAAACATTTTTAGTTCTAAAACTGCAATGTGACAGCAGTATTTGACACTTCTATTTGACTCTCAGATATGAAGTGCACCCCACTAATGTACTAGTTTGCAGAATTCTTTTCTAAGCTGTCCCTATCAGTGGCAGCATCCTCTCCCTACACTAATAAGACCGCATGTGCGTGCGGCGCTACGTGACTCTAGCTTATATATAGAGGCTGGGTCACATGCTGCACTGGCCAATCACAGCCATGCCATTAGTAGGCATGGCTGTGATGGCTTCTAAGGGCACACGGGTCAAACGCTTGTTGATTGGCTTCCCTGCAGCCTTTGTAAACGCGCCATTAAATCGGCGAACACCGAACTCCAACCCGAACATACAGTGATATGTCCGTGTTCGGGTCCGGGGTTCAAAAAAAACCTAATGTTCGCTCAACTCTAGTGGTGAATCATGCGAAACTTCCCCGGTTCCTTTTTAGGGACGACCCCCAGCAGAGAAACCCGCAAATTGGGCAAGGGGAGGGACGTAAATGGGTCCGCCATCCTAGCCAGCTGCACTTCCTTACCCAGCTTCTCCCGCACCTCACTACCACTGGGAATTCATAAACCGACTTCAAGTTATGCACACTACCTGGCCCCCCCTTTCTTGAAAAGGGATAGAAAAGCACTCCCCAAAGCCTACGCGCAAAAACGCAGCATCTGCCTTGTTACTGGATTGGTATCACAGCGAGCTTCACCGGCAGTGATCCCCATGGCAACGGGAACAGTCCCGCTGGAGCCCGCACCAGAGCCCGCCCCAGCCTTACCTCACTTAAAACATCTGTTGAGGCCATGGGCACCTCCGCAGCCTGAGTACTAATATGCACCAAGTGCCCCACTTGCACTGGCCCTTGTTGAAGAGCAACAAGAGCTTTAAAGCAGCTGATGAAGAGGAGTGACTTCCAGTGCCGGTCGCTGACTGAAAGGGTGTCGACTTCTGTGCCATCATTAGCTTCATCCCAGGGTTCGCCGCAAGTCGCTGCCAAATTTGCTCATTGTATTTCCACCATGCCAGACAGTCATATGTGTGCTAGACCTCCCACACCCCATCCAGATAGCAGAACAATGAGTAACACAGACCCGGCAACGTCTCCCCAAAATCACCGGCTAAGATGCAGAAAGCACCCATGCCGCTCCACGATCCCGCGCCGCCGCTCTCACCTCCGCCAGGAGCTGCTCCACTGGATACATTCTCTGGGCCTTGAACCTGCAGATAAAGAAAGCCGAAAAACATACCAGGCCCAAACTGCAGGCAGGAGTTGCACACAACTTAGGCCAGATAGGCAGATTAAAAGTGCCTAATTCTAAACTGGCTGCCTATTTATACTGGGCCAACCCCCTAACACTCTAACTCCAATCCCAAGGGGGGCCTTCCCCCTATGCCCGCCTCCTAGCTCTGTCAAGTCCCTTTCCACTAAACTGCCCTTGTTCCATAGGGTTACAACTTGTTTGCACAGTTACCCATCTATATGGTACTTCGGGGGTTACAAAATTCAAACAACTCGGCCTAAATTTTAGATGAATTGCAAGTCATCTTAAAATGAAAATGCAAAGTTTACTGGAGAGTACAACCTTATTAAATAGAACACAATCAACACAAATTAGCTTTATCATTCATATTATTTTGGTGAAATGATAGTTGGACTGCTAAATGTATTCCAAAACAGCCCATGAGAAAAATATTACAAATTGTCTGCCTTGGCTGAAATTTTGTGATTCAGTTGGTATTTTCCATAAGTCAATGGAAAATAAACTATTTTTTAATTTACTCTCAGAACCCCATGTTTTTTTATGAAAATACATCACCTTAGATTATTAGGAATGTAAAAATATTAGAAAAACAAATAGAATTTGTATATATTCAATAAAAATATATTTCAGTTTAATATCTTGTCTCATCAAATGCAGGGTGATACCTCTAAATGTAAACATTTGTAATAGCTTGTCACAACATAATAGGGATTGTTCTTATATGCATTTTCACATGTATAATGTATTGCCTAGGGAACCAAATGAAACGTCAAATAATACCAATTCATCACACTCTATATTTATATTCAGCAAACAGATTAATAAATTATTAGTACTGAATCGAATATGTATGAAAGAAAATAAATGATCATATTATTGCTATTATTTTATTTATTACCTTTCAGAAAAATATAACCAAGCTTTTGGACATATTTTAATTGCTTCTGCCTTGCTTGTGCCTTGTGCATTCACAAATACATTTTACAGTATTATTATATATGGATGTATTTATATACACAGTTGTGCTCAAAACTTTGCATACCCAGGCAGAAATTGTGAAATTTTGGCATTAATTTTGAAAATATGACTGATCATAAAAAGACATTTTGATAACAGAAATCACTCAAATGGCCTAGATCAAAAGTTTACATACCCTTGAATGTTTGGCCTTGTTACAGACACACACAGGTTTAAAATGGTAATTGGAGTTTATTTTCTCACACCTGTGTCTTTTTAATTTGCAATTAGTGTCTGTGAATAAATAGTCAATGAGTTGTTAGCTCTCACATGGGTGAGATTGCTATTCACAGATTGCTGAATACACACACAGACTGCTGAATACACACACACACACACACACACACACACACACACACAGACTGCTAAATACATACACAGGCTGCTGAATACACACACACACAGACTGCTGAATACACACACAGACTGCAGTGAGGGGTGCAGTGTATGTGTTTGTGTGTTGCAGTGCTGTGTGTGTAGGTGTCCTGCATGTTCGTGAGGTGCTGTTTGTGTATGAGGGGTGCTGTGTGTGTGTGAGAGGGGTACTGTTTATGAGGGATGCTGTGTGTAAAAAGTGCTTTGTGTGTGAGAGGTGCTTTGTGTGTGAGGTGCTGTGTGTGTGTGAGGTGCTGTGTGTGAGGGGTGCAGTGTGTGTGTGTGAGGTTCTGTGTGTGAGGAGTGTTGTGTGTGTGTGTGTGTGTGTGTGTGTGTGTGTGTGTGTGTGTGTGTGTGGGGGGGGGGCGGGGTGCTGTGTGTGAGGAGTGCTAAGAGCAAATGTTTTTATATTTGTGACAAACTACCCTTTGCCACTGGCTTCTGGAGGAGCCTGATTGCCAGCCTCCTGCCCCAAGACTATGGGCCCTGCATAAAGACATGCTAAAAAGGGTCTTCCATGGGAAAATGTGCCTCTTCCCCTCTCCCTTTTTCCTGTCCTATTGTTCTCCAGCAGGGCGTTGTCTCAGGGACACTGCTAGACCAGTGGAAACTGGCTGCTTTGTCCCTTCTCAGTCTCTCATCAGCCCCATGGCGATCCAACTGTATTCGTGAGATCAGAGTGCTTTTCGGACATATTGAGGGCTCAGATCCAAGCTATCTGGGAATATGCTGGACATATAGGTTAAACATTGTATTATAAGAGTTATGTATTTTTATGTGGTTTTTGTAACAGTTTTTGATTAGATTTATATCCTGTACCTGGAAATTATTAAGTTACCACAGCCACTTATCTCCAGGATAGAGGAGAAGATAGACCAGCCACACAGCCTAAATCTGTGGAACTCTTTTGGGCATGAAAACCATGCTTGCGGTTGGTCAAATGGGACTTCCACAAAACTTTTGAACCCCTGCTCTGATCTGGGTGATTTTTTGGATATGTTGTTTACCCAGATCAGGGCTATCCAGGGATGGGGATATGTGATGTTTTGGGGTGTTTTCTGTGTTTTGTGAAAAATGTATGTTTTCTGCCTGATGGTAATTGAGTTAGTCCATTGTGTTTGGTAATGGTATCACAGGCAGAGGGGAGGGTTTGTGTACATTATGTAGGAGTGCCTAACTGTACAAGAGTGTTTTGATTGGCTTTTGTAACTTTGTGTCCTGTGGTAACCTTGTGGGAAAACTTGTATATAAGAGACAATAAACCCTCAGTTCATTCTGTTTCTGCTTAAAGGAACACTATAGTCCCCTAAATTACTTTAGCTAAAGCAGTTTTAGTGTACAGATCATTCCCCTGCAATTTCACTGCTCAATTCATTTAGGAGTTAAATCTCTTTGTTTCTGTTCACGCAGCCCTAGCCATACCTCCCCTGGCTATGATTGACAGAGCCTGCATGAAAATAAAAACTGGTTTCACTTTCAAACCGATGTAATTTACCTTAAATAATTGTATCTCAATCTCTAAATTGAACTTTAATCACATACAGGAGGCTCTTGCAGGGTCTAGCAAGCTATTAACATAGCAGGGGATAAGAAAATCTTAATTAAACAGAACTTGCAATACAGAAAGCCTAAATAGGGCTCCCTTTACAGGAAGTGTTTATGGAAGGCTGTGCAAGTCACATGCAGGGAGGTGTGACTAGTGTTCATAGGATTTAACTCCTAAATGGCAGATGATTGAGCAGTGAGGCTGCAGGGGCATGTTCTATACACCAAAACTGCTTCATTAAGCTAAAGTTGTTCAGGTGACTATAGTGTCCCTTTAACCCTCAATCCGTAGCCTCGTCTCGTTATTGTAGGGAACTCCTATTTTCACACTGGGGATTGCTATACTTTGTATACTCCCCTGAGCTCTAATCACTTAGCTCTTTTAAGAGCTGTTCCTGATACACTCTCCTGGAGGAGAGGTCTTTCCCACACGGTCCTGGTTGATCAAGGGTGGAAGGAAGATGGCGAGACTCCAGTTAAGCTACGGCAGTTGTGGAGTCTGTGGTGGTTGTGGTGTCCGGTGCGGTGCTTATGGTTCTTGGCGTCAGCTAGGAAGCGTCCGTCAATGGATGTGCCCAGTCAGGGTGCCAGGTGATCCATTACAATATTTTTTAAAAATTATAATATACATACCCATGGGGAAAGACAGCCCTGACCATCCCCACTGTGAAGCATGGTGGTGGCTTACTGATTTACTGGGCTACTGCTTTATTTCTCTATCTGCATGTAGGGCATCTACATGTTGCCTAAATGGGGGCCTCCTGGGGTTTTCACTCTCTGACTAAGCTACCTGACATATTTTACAGTCACTATTTCATAATTAGTATTCACTCTCCGTGCATACGTTCTGCTCATCTATTAGTCTCTTGTTCTCATGCCTAGCACTGTGTTCATTTTATCGTGATTTAAAAAAAAAAATAACAGAAGTACTGCTCCTTAGATCTACATTGTCTGCTAAATATGATCCTTAACACTGACTTTACATTGCATGATTTGTTACCCTTGTTATTGCTCAGCACATCAAAACTAAAGAATTTAAAAAAAATCATATGCCCAACAAAACCTTGACATACCTCACAGCTTGTGGCACATTGTAATTTGAAGTGATGAGACCAAAATAGAGCTTTATGGTCACAACCATAACCACTATGTTTGGAGAGCGTCAACATGGCCTATAGTGAAAAGAATACCAACCCCACTGTGTAGCATGTGGTGGCTCGTTAATGTTTTGGAGGTGTGTGAGCTCTAAGGCACAGGTAATCTTGTGAAAATTCATGGCAAGATGAATACAGCATGTCAGGGCTGCCATCAGGGCTTGACAACCATAATGGTTGTCACAGGCCTGGCTGCTCTGGCAGTCCCAGGCTCCACTTTCCCTCCCTGCACACATAGATAGCGAATATCGCTCCATCTACTCCTTCTCCCCCAGAATCGGCCCTGCCCTGTACTTGGCTAGCGTCGGGTCCTCCCTGGTTTCCCTCCCGTACATCTCTGGGGTATCCCAGCCTAAAGGGGCCTGGTCTAAGGTACAAGTCGGGGGAGAGAGTCTTACCTGGGTCTCAGCAGCAGGTGGGCCGGTCTCGGCGGCATGGGTCTGGTCACGGGTCGTGACAGCATCCACTTCAGCAGGACCCATGGGAGCAAAGGCCAAGTCATTGCCAAGGAGAACATCCGCGGGTAAGTCCTTCATGACCCCCACATTCACATGTCTAGCGCCCACTCCCCAATCCAATGGGCCAGCCTGATTCTTACCGCCCGGTCAAAGCTTGCCTCCTCGGGGGTTCTGTCAGCTGTGCTGGGTCCATTGGTTCCCTCTGCCGCTGGTACTCCATCCATTTCCAGCAATAGCGCAATAATATCCCTCTTCCTGAGGTTACTGGCTTGTCCGCCTCTTTGCTCTAATAAATCCTTTAAGGTAGCTCTTCTCAGGTTCTGGTATTGTAGTTCCATTTAATCCTGGTTGTAGTGGTTTCTTTGGGCGCTGAGGATCATCCCGTCGCTTGCCACCAGTTGTTAAGGTACCTCCAGTAATAAAATGTACAAACCGCCGTTTAGCGAATATTCCCCGTTCGCAATAATGTGGTCTGGTAGCGGGTATAATAAAACCATGCGAACCGCCAGCTAGGGAACACTCCAAACTCCTGAACGGTACCTGTACGGCTAATTCCCTTCACGAGCTTCAAATCCACGAACGGCAAATAGTAACCGAACGTCAATATCTCTCAAGCGGCAAATAATCCAAATAAGCAGTCTCTAGTCGCTGGTAACCAAATCCCCCCAATAACGAGACCAAGCTCCGCTTTGAGGGTAAAACATGAACTGATTTACTGTGGGCTACCTGCCCGGTATTTATGCAGGTCTCCCACCTGGTGGACACTCCCCTAGGGGACCAAATGGGAGACTGAAATTACAGAAAGACATGGGGACATTTTGGACATATATCCCCACAATATTCCCAGCATGCAGTACAGTTCCCTCCCCTCTGCTTGGGGGATAATTGGGAAGTAATTCAATTATCTCCCCGAGCAGAGGCAATCGCCATTTTAAATGCAAGTCACAAAACACATGAAAATCTATAACTTCATAACTGCCGAACATATTGCATTCGTATTACATATCCCCAGATAGCCTGGATCTGAGTGCATATTATTGGCGAATAGCGCTCAGATCCCATTCGCACAGTTCAATCGCCATGGAGTCAAAGTCTATTTCAGTTCTTCGGTATGCGATTGACTCCATGGGGCGGCTATCTGGGTTAAGTCCATTCGTGTGGTTGAATCTCCCGAACGGCTGGCATTCGTATACTTTTGTCGATTGAGAAGGGGAGGTCGACGGCTTCAGCGGTGTTCGGCTGAAAAAGTGTCCGTTTTCAGATCCATGAAATAATCGTCGAACACCGCTGGTCTTTCGCATGGTTAAAATGGCCGCCGCCTCGTGGTCGACATACGAACGACGACCACCCGGCATTCGGTTTTAATTGAGAAGTGTCTGTGGTTAACCGCAACGTTCTAATTGGGATCAATAGGTTAACCAGCAGCACACTTCTCTTCTGGGTGGCCGTCCGTTCGGTAGTTCCGTTCGACAAAAACCGACATTCCCTTGAATAAAGCATACGAATGGGGAAATTCATGCAACCGGCAAAACAGGCGAACAAAGCATTTGTAATCCAGACAGATGGGTCTGTCACACCCCCCCCCACCCCAAGATTGCACATTTACACACACACTGCATACACTAACACAAAACACACACTACATACACTAACACAACACACACACACTGCATACACTAACACAAAACACACACTGCATAAACTAGCACAACACACACACTGCATACACTAACACAACACACACACTGCATACACTAATACAATTAAGGGAAGTCCCTTAATTAAACTATGTATATATAAAACATAGCTTTTAATTATTTCTATAATAAAATACTCATGCTAATAGAAAAGAAACAAGGAAAACAGAACAATATTAAAATTAGGTTAGATAGGTTAAGGAAAAAATCTCCTGAATGGGATATATACCCTAATAATCTCTTAAATAAATCCAATTATATCTTGGAAGAGAAGAGGGTCCCAATATAGTACTCGTACCGTAGCTTTAAATAATCACAATAGTAGCAACTTATTATAGGGCTCCCATCTATAGTTATGGATAACTAATAACCCTCACAAAGAGCCCCTAATTATCACTTAGAGAGCCCTTTAAGGCTAATGTTGCCAAATAATGCTACACATCAAGGAGGGAAGCTGATAAAAAATCAAAAAAGCAACAAAGTAGATAAACAATACTACTCAGCTAATATGCAATCAATATCTCTGTTAGCATAAGCTGCAAAGCCTCACTTGGCTATAGTCTGGGCACATAGTGGGGAATAAGGGATGGGGTTTCCCCTCTAATACATCTGAGGTAACAATTGCCCAAAACAAATAATAAATCCCCCTGGTCACCCACAACCCTCAGTAGAGTAGCAAAATAGGAGCAATTAAAACATAGACTTCTATCTGACTAGTCACAAGCTGTAATTGCTGGAGTACCGCCACCTATCTAACCTAACTGCCTGTTGCTTGACACGTGTTTCGGCGCTACTGAACGCGCCTTCTTCTGAGGCTAAACAGGGGTCCTCGTACTTCAGAGGATATTTTATAGCCCGATTACACCAATGAATAAAGTGGGGCCAGTCCGCGCCGAAAACGGGATCTGTAGAATATTGCATATTCTATGTTTCTATTGATTATATATATGGATGTGTGGATTGACATAAGTAACAGATGGTATCAATAAGTCACAAGGCTTTCTTTGTCCGAGAGCTCTGGAATGTGGATGTGGGGGGTTTTGTCCTTATATGGCTAGAGTTATATGCTGATGTTAGTATTAGCACTTCTATATAGTAACAGAGGGACACGAGGTCTCTCAGTCTAGTCTCACTCTTGGCTTGGCTCTGTACAACGATGTAACTCTCCCATCAGAAGTCCAGCAATTACCATCTGCTGTTGAATGTCCATTATCCTGTAACATCCTATATTATGTTTTATGTATCCGTAACTAAGAATAAACCTGAAGAAACCGTAAGTCAGATTGCGTATTACTACTTTTCAATAATATAGACATATATTATTGTGGCGAGCATTTGGCCCAAGAATATATATACAAAAGACGTATATATATGAATCAACTGAAGACAAGAAGAAATTAAGAAAGAGTCTACATTAACATCCATTCATCTACATTTTTTACAGGATCCGAACAAACCACGCCCCCACATTGACGTGTCACCATACAATTGGTTGATACTATCTGTATACAAACGTAATTATAAAGTTAACCATGTGAGTTCTGCTATCATCGGGCTGATAGCAATATCCTTTCTCTAGTATATCTGGCTAAATAGCCAAGAGGTACTTAATCATGTATGAATGCTGCTAAGTATGAATAAACCACCCCAGTTTTATCAAGTGGGATACACCATTGATGTTAAAGAATGTAAAATTAATCTCTTTACATTCATATCAATGTGTATCACTAGTACCTGGAATTGCAGCCCTATAGTACATAATCAGAATCAGCCTTATGGATAGCTTGCACCAATATATGTATATTTACCATGTTAACTGTTTAATGCAACTATATAAATGGGTATGTCTCACGACAATCTCAGATTATAATGGACTTCAGTGGGTGATCCCACTGATGCCTTCATAGAATCTAAGGGAGATCTGGTTAACCCTCTCAAATTATAAAAGGAACCAAATCAGACCTCTAGACACTTCTTTTGCCTAGACAAATAACCCAAGAGTGCATCAGTTACAGGGAATCGTAATTTCTTAAATATCACATTGATCAGGTTAAACCACTGATGTACAAAATTAATTAATAAAGAGAAAAGAATAATGAGTAAAGAAAGTATTTACAATATCTATAAAGATTATATATACATATGCTAAAATAAAATTGCATTCACTAGAATACAATTCTCCTTTGTGGTTTCATTTCTCAATAAAGGGAGTATGTAACGGACCGTTTTGCACACAAGGGGTAAAAACCGTTTAGGCGATCGGCCCCCTTTCCAGAGATACAGGCACAGCTACTGCAGAACACCAAACTCCCGAACTGGATACAAAATAGCACTCCAATTCCCGAACTGGAACCTCCCAAATAGCTGCTAGCAGACAAACAGGAAAAGCAGACAATCAGCTTACACTCCTGGCAATCAGTCTCTAACAGCATACAGTGAATCCCCCCAAGAACGAGACTAGGCTCCGTGTTGAGGGTCAAGAAGTGGTCTGAGGTGCTGGCACACCCAGCCTGGTTTTTATTACAGTCTTGCAAATACAGGACCGCCCACAGGGAGGTATAAAACAACCAATCACATCACAGTTACATCCCACATATTCCCTCCCCTTATCCTGAGAGGAAACTCAATTACACATACAGTTAAAACATACTTTCTACCCAACTTTCATAACTCTAAAACCATACATCACATTCACATAAAGTTACATATTCACAATCAATCCATTCAGGGGAACAACATATTAAAAAATGGCATGAATCAGACCAGGGGTTTAAAAGTTAGTAAAAAGTATCTTTTGTACCCTGGCTGGCAGCATGGCTATCTGGCTCAAACAGGTTTTACAGAGCCCTCTATCCTGGACAATGGGGAAAGTAATCCAATTATCCAGGGATAGAGGCAGACTCCATTGAGCATGTGGGGACACAAAGACAGAAAAACACTTTAAAATACATCAGGTAAGACACCTTACATTAAAACTATACATTTAACATATCCCCAGATAGCTCAGGTCTGAGCGCACATTATTAAGTGAATGGCGCTCAGACCACACGAATACAGTTTAATCGCCATGGAGCCAAAGTCTTTACAGTCAGTTTCATACGAATGGGCTCCATGGGATTCCTATCTGGGGTATAACACATTCAAACAAATCTACCGAACCCCAGGCAGAAAAACACGAATGCAGCTTTTCTGCAGGTAAAAAATATGTCTTTTAACAGGGGGCCATAGTCTAAAGGCAGCAGGCGAGCAACCAGGCTTCTCCAATGCAATTTGGCGAGATTGGTCTCGTCACAGAGTAAAAGTAAAACCCTCATTTAAACCATTGGGGGCCAAAGTTTTGAACCTGTGTATCCAATAGCATTCTCTTTTGAGGAGGGTAAGATCTAAATCTCCTCCTCTACGTCCCAACAACACTATCTCAATCCCCGCAAACTTTACACCTCCAGGGTCCCCGTGATGATGACTCCTCATGTGTCTTGCCACTGGGGTATCTCCAAGGTTTCTAACAGAGTGTATGTGCTCCATAACTCTCCACTTAAGGGGGCGGATAGTTTTTCCCAAATATCTAAGTTCACATGTACAGGCTAAGAGATATACAATACATTTGGTGTTACAATTAAAGAATTGTTTAACATTGCACACTATTTTGTCACTTAAATCTGTGAGACATTTGGAGTCTTTCATCATGTACCTACAGGCCACACATCTGCCACATTTATAAGTGCCTTGTATAGAAAGCCAATTTTGTCCAGCTTTTTTAGAGGAAAGGTACCAGAGCATCCTTACTGCTTACACTAACACAACACACACACACTGCTTACACTAATACAACACACACTGCATACACTCATACAACACACACTCTGCATACACCAATGCAATACACACACTGCATACACTAACACACACTCTGCATTCACTACACTGACACACTCTCTGCATTCACTACAATAACACACACTCTGCATTAACTGTACACACAGCATCCACTACACAAACATCCTGTACACACTACATCCACAACAAATTGAAACACTCTGCATTCACTATACACAGACACTGTGTCTAATACACACACTACATCCACTACAGACACTGCATCCACTAAACACATTTCATCTAGCACACACAAACACTACATCCACTACACAAACACACACATCACTGTACACACACTACATCCACTACTCAAATACACTCTGCATTCACTATACGCACCGCATCTGCTACACAAACACACACTCTGCATTCACTACACAAACAGTATCTAATACACACAAACACTTCATCCATTACACACATTCTAATTCACTTCCACTATACACACCACATTCAGTCCTGCATCAGTGGACTAGGTAGGGTGTGGGTGGGCCCGGGGGGGAGGGAAGTGCAAGAGGAGGGGGGCCCAGACCTTGTGCTTTGTCAGGGGCCCCAAAATTTCTGATGGCCCTGCAGCATGTTATCAGAAAACACTGGCAAACAATTTGCATTCTTCTGCATGAAGGCAGCACATAAAACATTCTTCGACTATCCAGCATGACAATGACCCTAAGCATTTGCGGTTCATGCAAGATGACCAAAGACTTTGCATGACCTGGATACATTTTGCCAAGACGAATGGGCCTGCAATAATTAGGGGCCTCATAGACAACTATTACAAAAGACTGCACGCGGTCTTTTGTAATAGTTGTCATTGCCTAAAGGGGCAATACACAGTATGATAAACTAAGGGTACTTTTGATTAGATGTAATATATTTTTTCTTCTTTGTTGCCATGTTTTGCTTTATGATTGTGCCATTCTGTTATATTCTGTTGAATATGAATCCCATAAGAAATAAAAATAAATGTGTTTTGCCTGGTCACTCATGTTTTCTTTAAAAAGATACATATATGACCAATTTTTCAAGGGTTTGAAAACTTTTGAGAACAAGCAAGTCACTTGGTATTATATGTTTATTATACCCTATAGCATAGAAATAGAAATGTAAGAATATCTTTCAAAATGTACATTTTGTTAAAGTTCCAAAGTTAACATGTTATTTTGTCTGTTATATATTATTTCTTAATAGACCAGATGCAAATGTCTTCATCTTCTGATACTTTCTCATTTGAAGATGACCTCAGCACCTCCTCGTCTTCGTCTTCAACCGCTTCTTCTCCACGCTTTGCACCTTCTCCAGGCTTGTCAGTGAATCTATCCCCAACATCTCCCAACACTGTTTTTCAGGTATGGCCAAATTACTATATTGAAGTCTTGACTGACTTTAGACAGCATATTCAGTAAAAGCTTGCATTTATAAATTAGTAAAATAAATTATTTCATACCTAACAATATCAAATGAACACACTGGAATTCATATCTTTGACCATGGAAAAAGATTATCTACCCTACCAAATTGCATAATTGCCTTGTTTCTTGCAGGCTGTTTTGCAAAAATGACTAAACTTTAAAGATAACATAATTTTCTTATAGACATATAATTTTCTTATAGATATATCGGGATCTTGATCTCTTACCAACAATTTAGCATGATTTCTGCCTTACTCTTTGCAATGATACAATAGCATGGTTTGGTACTATAGCTGCTTAGTAAATGTGTCTTTGATACATATTTTATTATAAATATTTTCAAGTTTGGAACTATATCGTTTTATTTTTAAATGTAAGTAAACTTTCAATTTTCAGCCAATACAATTACATTTTCTAATGTTTTCAGTTTGGCATTAATTCACACTGTGGGGAATAACGCTGATATAATCATGATTAACTGCATTCAAGTGTTTTTATTCATATACATTAATTATATGTATTCTAATTATATTATTCCAGCTGGATCTTCCCCAGATAAATAAGGTGAATCCAACTGTAGGGACAGTGAATGAGTCTGATTCTGTAGCAAACAGGCCAGCTACCCATCATCCCATTCAGGCTTCAGCTCATGTACCTAAGGTAATTTTTCTCTCTCCTTCTTTAATTTTGGAGTTTGTAAATGCAAATATGAACCCTTACAGGAGCATCTACAGAGTGTAGGATGAGTGTAACAAGAATTATTGTGGTTAGATTGATTTAAATCATAGTTGAAATTCAACTGATTTTCTTTAAACTGAATGTATAACTTCAAGGAAAAGGAGTAAAAAAAAAATAGAACAGTGATTTAACATCTAAGCTAGGTTTAGAGAGGAATTTTCAGAGCATAAGCTTATTGGAGGGCTACATTGTGATAGGGTGAAATGATCTATTAAAAGTTTAAAGAAGTGCAAAGATTTGTGAAACAATATCGTGAAGGGGAATTGAAGAAAATGTGACCACAATTAAACAGTGGAATTGTTGATCTAACTCAGGTCTCAGCTAAGCCTTCTGATATGGGAAAGAGCCAGAGGCAGAAGAAGTCCAAAGATGCCAAACCAAAGGTGAAAAAGCTCAAGTATCATCAATACATTCCACCAGATCAGAAGGCAGATAGGTCTCCAGTTGCAATGGATGCTGCCTATTCTCGCTTGCTGCAACAGCAACAGATCTTCCTGCAACTGCAAATACTTAACCAACAGCAAAACCAGACGTTCTGTGTACAAACAGTTCACCCTCTAACAACGAGGTAATAATATATGTATAACAGATCTGCCTTCTTTATTGATTATTGTACATTTTCTATTTCCATAATAGCTTCTTCTTCATTGTACTCATTTAGTATCTCAGCAGATCGGGTGATAAGTTTCGGTGGAACATCTGGTACACCCACCATAAATCTCTCATCTACAAGTGGTGCAGCAACTATGACAACAGCCAATTCAACCACAATTTCACCTCTGAAGCCAGAGTTGTTGCCAGCAAATTTGGATGATCTAACTGTGAGTGTTATAGCAGTCTGTTAAGATACATTGACTTTCAGCAAAACAGATGTTTTTTTTCTGTTTGTTTTTTTAACAGGAAGCAACATTTTGTAATTATAGTGACACTCGGGCAGCATAAAATTTATCTTTTACTTGATAATTTAAATTTTATTCTGGATATCATCTTTTAACAGAAATGGCCTGGGTAAAAAGCATGAAGGTTGCTCCAAGACAGTTATCAGATGTTCTTTAACAGCTGAGTTTTTAAAATTCAGTCTCAATGTGCAACCAATCTACTGGAAGCACTAATAAACAGGACAAATGCAGGAACACTAAAAAATAAATGTTCAACAATGACTGCATAGTTTGAAATAATATTACTGGAGCAAGCCCACAGTGGAACAAAGAATATGCAAGGGGCAACAATGAATCTCAAACTGCTATTACTGACCCAAACCTATATGGGTAGTGTAAACCTGATGATCCATTAGTTGAATCCTTCATGTTTAGTAAGTAATATTAGGTACCATCATAAATTGTGATACAGTTGCAAGAAAAAGTATGTGAACCCTTTGGAATGATATGGATTTCTGCACAAACTGGTCATAAAATGTGATCTGATCATCATCTAAGTCACAACAATAGACAATCACAGTCTGCTTAAACTAATAACACACAAAGAATGAAATGTTGCCATGTTTTTATTGAACACACCATGTAAACATTCACAGTGCAGGTGGAAAAAGTATGTGAACCCCTAGACTAATGACATCTCCAAGAGCTAATTGGAGTGAGATGTCAGCCAACTGGAGTCCAATCAATGAGATGAGATTGGAGGTGTTGGTTACAGCTGCCCTGCCCTATAAAAACAAACAAACAAAAAAAACCACCAGTTCTGGGTTTGCTTTTCACAAGAAGCATTGCCTGATGTGAATGATGCCTCGCACAAAAGAGCTCTCAGAAGACCTACGATTAAGAATTGTTGACTTGCATAAAACTGGAAAGGGTTATAAAAGTATCTCCAAAAACCTTGCTGTTCATCACTGCTGCTACTCTCCCTAGGAGTGGCCGTCCTGTAAAGATGACTGCAAGAGCACAGCGCAGACTGCTCAATGAGGTGAAGAAGAATCCTAGAGTGTCAGCTAAAGACTTACAAAAGTCACTGGCAAATGCTAACATCCCTGTTAGCGAATCTACAATACAGAAAACACTAAACAAGAATGGATTTCATGGGAGGATACCACAGAGGAAGCCACTGCTATCCAAACAAAACATTGCTGCACGTTTACAGTTTGCACAAGAGCACCTGGATGTTCCACAGCAGTACTGTCAAAATATTCTGTGGACAGATGAAACCAAAGTTGAGTTGTTTGGAAGAAACACACAACATTATGTGTGGCGAAAAAAAGGCACAGCACACCAACATCAAAACCCCATCCCAACTGTGAAGTATGGTGGTGGGGGCATCATGGTTTGGGGCTGCTTTGCTGCGTCAGGGCCTGGACGGATTGCTATCATTGAAGGAAAAACGAATTCCCAAGTTTATCAAGACATTTTGTAGGAGAACGTAAGGCCATCTGTCTACCAGCTGAAGCTCAACAGAAGATGGGTGTTGCAACAGGACAATGACCAAAAGCATAGTAAGTAAATCAACAACGGAATGGCTTAAACAGAAGAAAATACGCCTTCTGAAGTGGCCCAGTCAGAGTCCTGACCTCAACCCGATTGAGATGCTGTGGCATGACCTCAAGAAAGCGATTCACACTAGACATCCCATGAATATTGCTGAACTGAAACAGTTCTGTAAAGAGGAATGGTCAAGAATTACTCCTGACCGTTGTGCACGTCTGATCTGCAATTACAGGAAACGTTTGGTTGAAGTTATTGCTGCCAAAGGAGGTTCAACCAGTTATTAAATCCAAGGGTTCACATACTTTTTCCACCTGCACTGTGAATGTTTACATGGTGTGTTCAATAAAAACATGGCAACATTTCATTCTTTGTGTGTTATTAGTTTAAGCAGACTGTGATTGTCTATTGTTGTGACTTAGATGATGATCAGATCACATTTTATGATCAATTTGTGCAGAAATCCATATCATTCCAAAGGGTTCACATACTTTTTCTTGCAACTGTATACTTGGTTTTAGTGGAGCGCCAAATTAGTAATAAATAAATAATAAAAAATATAAATAAAGGAGAAAAGCGTGGAAAAATAGGAAACCTACCAACCTATTATATACAATATACAGAATAAACACAATTTCCCCTATTCTCTGGGTATACTACTTGTTCTGATTAATAAAAAATCAATATAGTATTCTTCCAATAATATCATCAGGTTTAAAAAACAAACTTGGTATACATTTTTAAAAAGTCCAAAAATTCATAAGTCTGTGAAAATAAAGCACAGGAAATATTCTGTCTTTGCAAAAAATATATATGATAGAGTCCTTTAATTAGTCCTTTAGATAACTTTGATATTCAAGTAATCCAGATTAGCAGCTTGGATTTTCGAATTTTCAATTCATTTTTATATACCGTGATCTGTGCTATGGAATATAGCACAGATCACGGTATATAAAAATGAATCGAAAATTAAAGTATGTTCTAAAGTATCTATCCCACTTAATTAAAAGCAAAGATTTAATACTTTAAAAAAATTACTTTATTTGAAACATATTTCATAAAAATATCTTTAGTATATTCATAAAATATCGACAATCTATGTCTCTGTTTGATATATATATATATATATATATATATTTTATAGAATATTAATTAAAGCGCAGACCTCAAGCGAGTTGCTCGGCGTCCCAAGTAATTAGCGTGTTCCTTCTGCACCAAATTAGAGTCAGGATCTTGTGTGGACTGGATGCTGGTGATAGGAGTCAAGTCCTCTCCAAACGCATTTCTCCTCTTCGGTGGCAATTTCAATGGATATAGACTGACTCTTATATCCTTCATATTTAAAGGCTGTTCAGTTTAGTCAGTGACTCATTATTAGAGACCTATTTGGAAATCTCAAAATGTACTTTTTTAAAATATATACCAAGTTTGTTTTTTTAAATCTGATGATATTATTGGAAGAATACTATATTAATCTTTTATGAATCAGAACAAGTAGTATACCCAGAGAAAAGGGGACATTGTGTTTACCCACATAAATTGTATTAATAAATTTGACCATGGGGCTGCACCCCAGATTAGTACAGTCATATTGCTGGCTGCATCCCAGATTAGCAAGTTCCCATTGTTCTTTTTTATGTATATGCATGTATGATTTTATTTTCACATTTTTGCCTTTATCGGGAGCATAGAATATAATAAAATAGAGAGGGGAAAAAAACAAGTGGACTCAGTATATCTAGGTCTCAGTATATCTACATATTCTAGCTATGTTGTCAGAAAACATTTTAAGGAAGAAAAGTAATTCCTTATATGTTTGCACAAATACATAACTTGCATAAAGTTAGCTATTGGTTGAGCTACTTAAAAAATGAAGTTATGCTGTCAGGTTTCACTTGTCATACAATGTAAATTACAGGAATCTAGTGTTTTCTTATTTGCAAATCCATACAAATATGGTATCACAGATGTATGTACAATATACACATAAAACAATGTGGAAATTTAAAAGCTATCAGAGTGTGAATGCATATGTTCAGTTTGTCATGAAGAAATGAAAATATCAAGTAGCTAGAAGTGTTACTGAGGTTTCATACATATTTCATGTTGTTTATACTTCTGTTTTATACTTCTCTCTGGTGCACATATCACACTGGGGAAATCATCATTAGCTTTTACTGGGATGAGAGAAAATGAAATAGTCACCAATGAAAGCGGACAAAGGGGACTCTTTAAGGTGTTTCAATTTCCTTTTATTTATTGTTTTGTAGTATTTCACTTCTAAAAATGCCATTAATACTTTGTTTTCAAAAACATAACTATAATGTCATTTTTATTAAAGGTATCAGAACTGCGTCAACATCTAAGAAAACGAGGGCTTCCTGTTTCAGGAACTAAGCCTGCATTGTTGGAACGCCTTAGGCCATACCAAATCTCTCGCACTAAGACCATTCCAGCTCCAATTCAAAGTGCAGGCTTTTTAACTCCAGTGATTGAACTACCCTCTTTTACAAATTCATCAACCTGTGAAAATACTCCGGCCCCTCTGTGTACATTTCGGACTTTGCCGTCTACTGCCTCTGTTGAGATTCGTCATGAGTCTTCAGATACATCTTGTAGTACCTCAGAAAATTCAGATATTATAGGAGGCACTGAAGACAAGGATATTTCCATGCAGGGAATTGATGAAGACCAAGTGCTTATAGAGAAGCAGAAGGTAATTGAAAATCTGACTTGGAAATTGAGACAAGAGCAAAAGCAGGCTGAAGATCTACGAGTAGAACTTGAGATGCATAAACGTTTAAAAAACCGATGCAAAAATGAAAAATATATACCTAGATCATCTATTAAAATAGAAGTAGATGATACAGCTTTAACATCATCTTGTGCAAAAGTACAGACCGAGGACACTCAATATTTGTACACTTTCAACAATGAAAGGCAAGAACGGCAGCCCCCTGTGCAGGAACCATTGTCCTCATCAGATGCTAACAATAGCTACATGGTATGTAAAGAGACTGTACATCATAGATAAAAAGTTGTGAACATAACAAATATACTTATATCCTGCATGTTTTATAATTGAAGAAATAGCAATAGTAGAAACAAAAATAAAACTCAAATGTTATAAAATAATGTTTTTTCACCTCCAGCAAGAAATCCAAACTGGTCCTTTCTAGTACAATGAGCCCCTTTCCTAGTAATTAAACTCATAAATAGGACATTAAGAAAAAAGAGAAATGTTTTATCTACAGAGCTACTCAAACGGGGAGCTAAATATGCAGAAACACACAAGTAGATTAGTGCGAATATCAGAATAAAGGTAGCAACCACAACAAAGGGAATCCCTCTTACCATTTGAAAGAACAGAAGTGTGCAAAAGTCAATATGGGCTGAGCCACAAAGGTTAAAATAACATTAAAATGTCCAGAAATACAACAAAAAAGAAAATAAAGGACCTTGTAATTCACACCAAATGGTGTCTTTGCAGTATGTTCAAAGGTGAGAAGTGGGTTCTTATAACTTCGGAGTAGTGTCCGTGATCAGTCTCTCCAGTATCCAGTCACTATTGAGTCTTTTCATACTTCCTCTCTCCCTTTTTATTTTTGCATATCAGGGAAACAGCAAAAATATTTGTGTTTCCCCATAAAATTATAGAAAAGTCAGTACTGTGAATCATTCTCAGATAAATATATAAAAAGGGAGAGAGGAAGTAGGAAAAGACCCAATAGTGCATCTTTGTATCGTATGATGTAGTTATAATAAAAACAATAATATTACACTCACATTCTTATGAGCTATGACCAGCTCTAGCATCAAACGTCTGTAGTGGTACAATCCCCACTTCGGGATATAATGTGAGTGTCCTCAGTCTTAGGAGCTTCAAATGACAGCTGGAGCTCAAACGACAGTAAAAGGTGGGGAAGCGACAATAGTGCTCTCAGTAGATAAAACCACGGTATCAAGAAATATAATAAAATGTATACTCATAAAGCATAGAGCAGGCCAACTGCTCCATGGAATCAGCTTTGGTGGTATGATCCCACCTCAGATTTCTTTGGAGTAATAGTAAAAAGCCATGTATGATAAAAATAAAAATCCAATCCTTTACTCCATTTGATGAAGCCTTAGGCGAAACGCGTTATTGGATGTTTTATTTACTTTTGTATTTTAAATAAAGGAATTCTTTTGAACAATACACCAAGGTTTGTGCCAAATTCCTTTTACCATTTTATTTTATATTTTTTTATTATACCTGGCTTTTTACCATTACTCAAAAGAAATCCGACGTGGGGATCATACCACCAAAGCTGATTCCCTATAGAAATCATAGCTCATAAGAATGTGAGTGTAATATTATTCTTATTATAACTACATCATACGATACAAAGTTGCACTACACTATTGGGTCTTTTCCTAATTCCTCTCTCCATATATATATATATATATGACTGGATACTGGAGAAACTGATCACGGACACTAATCCGAAGTTATTAGAACCCACTTCTCACCTTTGAACATACTGCAAAGACACCATTTGGTGGGAATTACAAGGTCTTTTATTTTCTTTTTTGTTGTATTTCTGGACATTTTTATGTTATTTTAACCTTTGTGGCGCAGCCCATATTGACTTTTATCAAACTGTCAACAATTAACCAGAGAAAAAGAAATACTAGGCCAAAACGGTTATTTTTTTTTAATCTTTAATTTGACTATATTTCTAACACTACTTTTTTGTCCTAAAATTTAAAATTTCCTAAAATTCCCAGTTTAGTGAATAATGATAACAGGGGTTATGTATCATCTTTAAACAGTAATGTTAATTGCAGGTTTTCTGTACACCTTCCTGTGACTTAATTGAGCAGGATTTTGAGCTTCCTATGCAGATCACAGCAAGTCCAGGAAGCCCTGTACAGAAGCCTCGGTCTTTTGAAGAAGAACTACAGGAGGCCATTCAGAAAGCTCAGGTACAGAGAATGCAAAATAGTTTCATGTACCTAATAGTCTAAATTCCTGGCATGATTTTAAAATTAATTTAATCTTTGTCAACAGATGGCTCTCTGTCAGTCTATTGAAGATATTTTGGAAGATGAACCACTAATCCGCCCAGGTAATCAACATAATCTTGAATCTCCAACTCTTGCAAACTGCAAGATGTTGTGTAAAAATAAGAGTTGCTGCAGTATAACAATAATTGGCCATCTTTTCTTTTTTGTGTGGATTTACTTATTTTTTTCCTTTAACATTTTGGAGGCAAAAGAGCACCTGAAAGAAGGTTAAAAAGTCTTGAAGCCTCTTTTACCTGTGTACATCAGCAGTGTTTATCCATAGTCTTTTGGTGTTTTTCTCGTCCCCTGCTTCTTGGTTCACACATAGTTGACATCATTCACAATTAGCGCCTCTTGTCTGTTCACACTGCAATTTGAATTTTCCTGCTTGGGGACACTTCCTCAATGATGACACAATGCTGGGTTCATTGCCAGCATGCCAGTGCATGAAGAATGTGAAATTTAGTCACTCGGGCACTATCGTGTTCAAAATGCAGGTTTATTCTGTTAACTCCAACTATTGCTTCTATTTTCTACTGACATCAGATTGACCGCAAAACGTTTCTTTTATTGTATTATTTATTTAATTTTAAAATATTTTACCAGAAAACTGAACAAAAAAATAAATATATATATATATATATTTTTTTATCTTTTTCAGATGAATTAATGCATGTAGAACCCAACATAATGGAAAACTTTAAATCTGATAAGGAACACCAACTTGCACCATCGCCTGCATCACAAAATGGGAATTTTTCAAAGCCACTGCCGTGCTGTAATGATGCGCCTCCTCAAATGCCAACATTACCCAATTCAGGAATCCTGGAATTTCCTGTTCCTGGTCACTATGACTTCCTTTCTGGTCAGGACAGCCTTTCTGTTATCTTTAATTCTGATCAAATTGAGATGCCGCCTTCCCCACAACAAGGAGAAGATATGTCTCGATCTCCCAACACCTCATCTCGAGTTCCCTTTGATCCAGCAGAGTGGTTGGAAGCACTGACATCGGGATCCACTTCCAACTATGGACCCAGTAGTCCAAATGGCTCTAGCATATTCTCCACTGACATTTTTGACTCACCTGATTTAAGTATTAATAGAATGATTGATTTAATGGTAGAGCAGTGGTAAACTGAAGCAGATAGTAATATAGGAAAATGGACACAAATTAGTTATAAAATCACTAAGCAGTACTTAACAAAGAAAATTATCTATGTAATTGTAACTTTTGCTAGATTTGTAAGGCAGGCTGGGATGTACTGCCAAAATCTAGGATATATTTGACATAGGAATTTAACTGAATTAACCACAGTCAATTTGTTAGACATTATCCTGGTTAATACAAAATAGAATTGGTTAACATTCAAATTAATTCAGTTCTGCTCATTGATACATTCTCATTCTCATTTCTCTTGAAAAATATGAAAAATACATACAAATGATGCATAGCTATTATAATTTTAACTTGAATTGACCATCAAATTAATTAACTTTGAAATACAATGTAATGAGGGTCTTGAATTCATGAGGTGCACTTTAAATACATGATGATAAGGTGAAGAACATCACAATAATATTTTATTTTGTAAAATGTTAACTAAGATAAACTAAATTTCATAAACCACTAAATATTCTATAATTTATAAAGAAATACTTCAAAATATTGTTTTGAAAAATATGAATCTCCTGCACTAATATTTATATTTGTTCCAAAAAAAAATAAACAAAAAGATGAGTCAATTTATGTTTCAGGTCATGTTACACACATCTGCTAGATTTGTAATTGAAATATATTATATGATACACACCGTTCTTGTCTAGCATTACAACTCACATTAGCATTAGTATTGTAAATACAGAAATATAGTAAATGCATATCAGGGAAACAGAAACAAAAATACTGTGAATCATTCTCAGATAAACAATTTCTTATTTTGTTGTAGTTGTATTCATGATAATACTTTCATTCATTTATATATTCATATTTATGTACTGACCATACCAATGTACTGACTTACCTCAAGGTGGTACATAGAGAAAAAATAAATCACATAAGAATGTCAGCATTAAACATAATATTAATTCTCCTCAAAGGACAACAGTCCCATAAAAATCACTTTTGACACTTTTAAGTAAAGCTATATTTGTGGTTGTATACAATACGCAGAGTTATAGTAATTGTGGTGTAAGTTGGTTGTGGTGTGCCGGAACCAACGTTAGGGTAGGCCTGTAAAAGAGAGCCCACCAAGATGAATGACTTAATAAAGGGAGTGGTGGGTGGGTTGAACAGGCAGTCTCAGCCCAGAGGAAGGGGAGGTCTGTGTATTTATAGGCTGGAACTGACGTTCTGGTTGGCCTGTAAAAGAGGTAAAAAAGTTTAACAGTTAACACTGAATACGTGTTGACATTACATAACCAATACTTAGATGCATGTCTCAATTCCCTCTCAGGTTGAGGGATATACATGGCATATGCAGATGACTTTACTGTCCTAGCGATTAGATATGTACTGATATATTACTAGAGGTAGTAGGTAGAGTTGAGCGAACCCGAACATCACGCTTTTTGGACCCCGAACCAGAACCCGGACATTTCAGTAACAGTTCGAGTTCGGCGATTTAATGGCGCGTTTTGAAAAGCTGCAGGGCAGCCAATCAACAAGCGTTTGACTTGTGTGCCCTTAGAAGCCATCACAGCCATGCCTACTAATGGCATGGCTGTGATTGGCCAGTGCAGCATGTGACCCAGCCTCAATATAAGCTGGGGTCACATGAGCTCTTATTAGTGTAGGGAGAGGATGCTGCAGCTGTGAGGGACAGATTAGGAAAGAATTCTGGTGTTGAATCTGCAAACCACAGCGATTATTTTTGTGGGTGCTATACTACATTTTTGTACCCTGCTCTGAGACCAGTGCCACAGAGAAATAAGCAATAAGTCTGTTTGTTAGGTGGGCATTTTTGCAAGTGCAGTGCACTTGCAACTGCATGTGTGCCAGGCACATTACTTTAATCCTGTTCTGATAGCTCAGTGGGGAACATCTAGGCATCTTTAAATACTGCTGTGACATTGCAGGTTTACTAATTAACATTTTTTTGGTGCTAAAAAGTAAATTTGGGGCGTGCACTTCATATCTGAGAGTCAAATAGAGCCGTCAAATACTGTGGTTACGTCGCAATTTGAAAGATTCAATTTTTTTTTGTGCTAAATAGTACATTTGTGGCCTGTGGTGCATTTCTTGCAGTCCAATAAAACCCTTAAATACTACTCTTACATCGTTGGTTTAAAAAAATCACACTTTTTGTGCTAAATAGAACATTTGCGGCCTGCGGTGCATTTCTTGCAGTCCAATAAAACCCTTAAATACTACTGTTACATTGTTGGTTTAAAAAATCACACTTTTTTTGTGCTAAATAGAACATTTGTGCCCTGCGGTGCATTTCTTGCAGTCGAATATAACCCTTAAATACTACTCTTACATTGTTGGTTTAAAAAAATCACACTTTTTTGTGCTAAATAGAACATTTGTGTCCTGCGGTGCATTTCTTGCAGTCCAATAAAACCCTTAAATACTACTCTTACATTGTTGTTTGACAAATTCACATTTTTTTAAACCGGTGAATTAATTGTATTAATTACGTCTGTCACACTGTTGTGTGACTTCTAGAAATTTTTCTCTTTAGGACACCTGCACTGCCTTACTGTCAGTGAACTTAATTGTTGACTATTGGCGGTTACATTGTCGCCTGACATAAACCATCTGTTAGTTTGGTGGGTGATTGCAAGGAATGAGGAGAGCGTCAAATAAGGGATGTGGCCCTGGTAGTGGTGCTGCTGGTGTTGGTGGAGCTCCTGTTGAAGGGAGAGGACATGGTCGATCTGTGGCAGCTACACGCACAAGTGAAACACCTTCCACAGGTGAAAGTAGGTGACAGAACCTTCAGCGTTATTTGGTAGGCCCGAATGCCGCTCTTCGAATGGTGAGGCCAGAACAAGCACAGGCGATAGATTGGGTGGCTGACAGTGCCACCAGTTCATTTCACATTGTCTTCCACCCGGTCCCCTGCTGAAAGCTCAGAGTTGGCACCTGCAACCCATGGCCATCTGTCTTTCACCTCACCTCCTTGAAAATCAGCCAAGCAGTCTGAGCCACAAGTCATGCAACAGTCATGCAGCAGTCTCTTATGCTGTTTGATGACTCTGCTGGCGGGGTTTCCTTGGGCTATCCACCTAGCCCTGCCCCAGAAGTGGAAGAGATTGAGTGCACTGATGCACAACCACTTATGTTTCAGGATGTGGACAAACAAGGACCACCGCAGCACGTCTCTAATGGTGATGAAACACAGGTGCCAACTGCTGTGGCTTTCTGCAGACCGGCAAGGAGGGCAGGGTTGAGGAGTGGATGGAAGATGATGAGGTACTATACCCCACATGGAATTAAGGTCATGTGAGTGACGTGTGCAGTTTGGAGGAAGAGGCGGTGGTCACACAGAGGCACCAGCACAGCATAAGAGTGAGCAGGGTGCAAAAGCGGAGCAGCCATCCCCTAGACAGTACACCTGCTACTGCACACCGCACCCAGGGACAGAGCACACCAAAGCCAGCTCCAAGGAGTTCCCTGGCGTGGCAGTTCTTCAGACAATGTGTGGATGACAAGACACGAGTAGTTTGCACGGTGTGCAATCAGAGCCTGAAGCGAGGCATAAACGTTCTAAACCTGAGCACAACCTGCATGACCAGGCAGCTACATGCAAAGCACGAGCTGCAGTGGAGTAAGCACCTCAAAAACCAAGAAAGGTCTCAGACTCCTCCTGTTTCCTCTTCTGCTGCTGTCTCGACCTCTTCCTCCACCTCTGGAGTGACAGTGGCACTGGCCACGCCGCAAACAGAGGATGTGGCAGCAACGCCACCATGTCCGCCATTGTCCCCAAGCATCTGCACACTGTCCCATGGAAGCGTTCAGCTGTCCATCTCCCAAACACTGGAGAGAAAGAGGAAGTACGCCCCTACCACCCGCGATCCCTGGCCCTGAATGCCATCATTTCAAAATTCCTGGCCTTTGAAATGCTGTCATTCCGTCTGCTGGAGACGGACAGTTTTATAAACCTGATGGCGGTGGATGTCCCACAGTAGGTAGTTCCCAGCCGCCTCTACTTTTCCAGGCGAGCCATCCCTTCCCTGCACAACCAATTGGCGGACAAAATCAGGTGTGCACTGCGCAACACCATCTGTGGCAAGATCCACATAACCACTTATACGTGGACCAGTAAGCACAGGCAGGGACGCTATATCTCCCTAACTGCACACTGGGCAAATGTTGTGTCGGCTGGGCTTGAGGCAGATAGCAGTATGGCGCATGTCCTTCCACCACCGACGATAGCAGGGCATTTCTCTTTGCCTCCTGTTGCCTCCTCCTCCTACTCCGCTTTCTCCTCCTCTACCACCTCCTCATCCAGTCAGCACAACACCTTCCCCACCAACTTCAGCACAGCCAGGGGTAAACGACAGCAGGCTGTTTTAAAACTGATATGTTGGGGGGAAAAACCCCACACCGCGCAGGAGCTGTGGACGGGCATGGAACAACAGACCGATGAGTGGTTGTTGCCACTGAGCCTCAAGCCCGGCCTGATGGTGTGCGATAATGGGCGAAATCTCGTAGTAGCTCTGGGCCTAGCCGGTTTTCCGCATATCCCTTCCCTGGCACATGTGCTGAATTTGGTGGTGCAGAAATTCCTGAAAAACTACCCAGATATATCAGAGCTGCTGCAGAAAGTGTGGGCCATCTGTGCGCGCCTTTGGCGTTCTCACCCTGCTGCTCCTTGCCTGTCTGCTCTGCAGCGTACCTTCACCCTTCCTGCTCACCGCCTCATATGCGACGTGCCCAGAAGGTGGAACTTCACCTTGCACATGCTGGAGAGACTGTGTAAGCAGCAGCAGGCGATAGTGGAGTTTCAGCTGTAGCACGCACGGGTCAGTCGCTCTGCACCAGACTTGCCCTCCAATAGATCCTCGTAAAAGGATTTATTTATTTTTATTTTTTAAATTTCAATATTTCTTTATTTAAATTTATTAAATACAATTTATATAAGTTTACTATTACAAAAGACTCGAAATGACTGTGTTACTGTTAATACCGATTGTTACTGTTACAACTCTATACGTTTAAGCCGAGGAAAACACGAATGGATTACACGAACTCTTATAAAGACTCCATTCGTGATACGAACGAGGGACCCCCCAAATGCTGGCGTGTGCCGCCACTTAACCTCGTCACCCCGCAAAGTACCGAACGGTCGACCACCCGACCAGTGGCGGCCATTAACCACCCAGGCGGCTGCGGTCTGCGGTTAACCACAGACTAATTGATGGGCCTGGAGGGATCATCGTTCGCACACAAAGCACCGAAGGGAACCTACCGAACAACCACACGAACGGAGACCCCCTACAGTGGGTCGCGTGGCGGCAATTAGCCTGTGGTTTCTGCGGTTAACCGCAACTAAAGTACCATGCTACCAGGTGGTCCTCGTTCATGTACCAAACGAGTTCCACTACCAGACAGACAGCAGAGCTTCGCATGAACTGATACCTGAGTTTAGTTCCATAAGTTGAAAGCGAGGTCCCGCTGCCCGCTAAACCGTCTGAAAACATGGCCGCCATCAAAGACTCACGATCCAAAATGGCGAACGGACTTTATACGGCAAAAATAGCCCATTCTGTTCGTGGGATTAGAGCGCCATTCGTAGGTTTAATGTATTCGAACGCAAGCTATTAAATGAATGGTAGAATAAGCGGGTTTCCTGTATTAATGTTAAAGTTATGGATTTTTATGCAGTTTTCTGGGACATAATAAGACGTGGTCTTTTGTGCGCTTGGAGATAATTAGATTGTATAACCGTTGGTCTCATTATCTCCAAGCTGGGCGGGTACTAATTCAAATGATACACTGTATTGTGATTGGTTACTTGTCTGTACTGTACCTGTATTCCATCAGGTCCACAGGGGGCTGTCCTTGGACCTGAGGAATCGCATAAATTGCCATGTTGTGTGCCAGTTCGTTTTGACCCTCAACTTGCAGCCTTGACTCATGTTGTAGGGATCCGGGATATTGATGCTTACATCTTGTTTGGGGATATTCTACACCTGCAGCTTACTACCGAAAGACCTCCGTTCGACTCTCTACAGCGGGAACCAGGACCTCCAAGCGATCAACCCCCCTGCTAGACCGGGGGCAATCGTAACATTTACATATAAATATTCAATCACTCAAACACAAATACATAATAATTACATTACATATAAATGTACAACATTCATACCGGGGGGTTCCAAGGATAAAACTTTTACAAATTCAGAATATCAAGTATTTTTTAACATCATGTTCAGGGTAGCTCTTACATGGTTGACAATTTGTTTAACAAATTTTCATACCTAGCGTTTTTTCTTATTTGTGAAATATGATTTATCGTAAGTGATTTTTCCATATTCAATTGTGTTTTAATTTGAGAGAGTATATGTTGTTTCTGAAACGGTAAGGAGGACCTCCAATTTCTAGCTATTATAATTTTCATAGCTATGAAACAATGGACAGCAATACAGATATAATTTCGTGATTTTAAATTCCAATTTACATGTAATAGTGCAACTGTAGGTGAGAAGTTTAGTTTTATACCTGTCAAATCATAATAAAGTTTAAAAACCAAAGACCAAATTTCAATAACACATGGTAAAGACCACCATCTGTGAATATATGAACCCAAATTACTGCCACATCTCCAACATGTAGGGTCGCAATTCTGATACATTTTTACTAAATTTATTTGGTGTTAAATACCATTTATTTATAACTTTGAAATGGCACTCTGTCAAATTCAAACAATGTATATTTTTAGAAATATGTGACAAAGAGGAACACCATTCTTCCAATGTTATAGTTAATTCTAGTTCTTGTTCCCAATAATTTATTATTTTCGTTGGATTATCATTAAGTAAGTCTAGAAGGAGATTTGCTTTGGAAATTACACTATTAACATAACTGTTGCTAAATATATTTTCCATAAGACCTGCTGACTGAAATGAGGATTTTAAAATATTAATTTCTAGAAAGTTTTTTATTCTTAAATATGTAAAAATTTCCCTATTTGGGACTTGAAAATTTTTCACCATCTCTTGGAATAAAATTATCTTATCAGCTTTCATTATTTGTGAAATTGAAATTGTATCTTT